AAAAAAAAAAAGAAAAAAAAAAAGAAAGAAAAGGTTCCAATTTTACATTTTTCTTCAAATTTTGCACCTTCAAAAGCATTTAAATATCCAGTTACTTTCCTGTCAGCTAGTGATTCTTTTTCTTGATCATCTTCTCTTAAAGAATGCAAGGTGTTATGCATCCTCCAATCTTGTCCTTCCTTAGTTGTTGTCACCACTCTCCTAATCATCAAAGATTCAATTTGAAGAAGAACATCCACTTCTTCATCTTCACACAGTAACCATCGCAAACTGGTTCTAACATGTCACAATTATTCTCCTGGTCAGCTTCTCAATCTAGATCTTCTGCATACATCTTTCCATGAAAATCTTCATCTTCTTTATTAATTCTAACACCATTCATATCAAGGGCATGGGTCAACCTCTCTTCCAATCCACCTCTTCCTGCTTGGTTTGCAGCTCCAGCATCATGGAAAGGGTTTTCATCCCTTCCATCCACAGTCTGATCCTCCAGACTACCTTCCAGTATGTCTGCAGGGTCATGGTCACCTCCAGTTCCTCCATATGGGCTCCCATTGGTTCCCATTGCAGTGTTGGTGTAAAGCTTGCATGGCTTTTGACAAGTCCTCAATCATGCATCACTTCTCAGTTAACTCTGTTTGTTGGCCTTTATTTCCTCTGCCATGACCAGCCAGCTCTCTGATACCAGTTTGATATGGGGAAGATAGGAGCAGATCAAACAAAAACTAAGAACTTTGTAAAATAAAGATGGAACCTAGAAAACTTAGGGTTTCAAACTCAAGTTTATTTTCAAAATAAAATTTGAAACAATAACTTCCCTAGAGATCTAAAAGCATCTATATATATACTAAAAGTAGAATAAATTTCTAATTGAATTCTAGCTCTGATTCCTAATAACCTTTTCTAATCCTAGTTAAAAGTCACATGCTAACCACATGACCTCCTAAAAATTAAAACTTAAAGACTCCCAAAAAAAAAAAAAAAAATTACAGATTTGTTAACTTGCGTTAAATTAAAACACTGATGCTCCTGCATTAATTTAGCTAAAAGCATGATTCTTTGTCACCCCATTAAAGTTTGGTGGAAAACCCCATTGTTGTTGTTCTTGTTTTTGGGGAAAGTTCTTTAGTGGTTTGCTGAGAGTTTCTTCATCGAGTGGGAGTTCCAATTTATGTCTCAAATTAGTGAAAAAGTGCCATCTAAATTTAGCTTAAATTTATCCAAAGTTTTCTTGTTTAGGATAATTCTTTCATTAAATGTCTTACATGCATTTTTTTCATTGAGCAAAAATAACATTCTGAAAAGTTAAAATTCACTGAACTAATGTGACCTAAAGCAGCCCCTTTTTCCTCCATTCTTCAATTACTCTTCAGAAACCCTTCTCCCCATTCCTTCCTCCTCTGTTCTCCTTCTCCCTTCAGGAACCAGAGTCATAGATCTTCACTAGCTGCTGGAAGTTTCCAGCATTGGAGTTTGAATTTTCTCATTCCAGATTTTAAAAATCAATCTAATTCAGAAATTTGTATCAGAAAATTGAGGTATGATATAATAAAAATAAAAAAGTTAATTCCTTTTGCAATTTTTTGTTTTTTTGGTTTCTGGAAGTAATATAACAATGTAATTACAAAACAGAGCCGTCTTAAATGGTGAAAAACTTGAGCTTGAAGGAACAAACTCTTAACTTGGCTCCTCTAGACATGTATTACTGCAGTTTTCTAACTGAACCATGCTACGATTTGTTCCGTCACATGGCGATAAAAAAAAACAATTGTTCACATCAGCTTTGTTTCATATATGGATGAGATGCTAATCTACAAAACAATGTTTATCACTTAAAATAAACAAGAATTCCACTGCAGTTAGACTATTAACTAACTAAGCTAGATAGGGTTTGTCAGATTTTGTATATTGGATTGATTCCAACACGTATTTGTTGGAAGGGTTTTATAGACTTTCAAAAATGCCTTGATGCACTTATGATAAATTTGGTTAGTATTTTTCCACTTGTGTGAGATGTTAAGTTGAACTTCCACTCAATGAAGAGGAAATCTCTCACCAAAACACTCGAGGAATTTTTGCTTCTATTTTTGCTCAGCATCTCTTTGACAATGATTGCAAACACTTCCATTATTGTTGAAACTGTGGGACTTGCAGGTTCATTGTGCTCGGCAGTTCTATGAGAATCTAGTTCCAAGTTTTACAATATATGATGTTGAATGCCCTGATCATTCATTTCGCAAATTCACTGATGATGGGCAGTACCTCATAAGCTTTAGCAGAAATCATCAGGATTTGATTGTTTATAGACCAACATGGCTGTCATATTCATGCAAAGAAGAAGACTGTAATGGACATGAACCTCCTGCAAAAGCAAAGAGGTTTGAGAGCTTCTTCCACCAGTTATATTGTGTATCACTTGCTGCCTCCAATGAGTTTATATGCAAAGACTTCTTTTTATACATGGAGAGTAACCAATTTGGAATATTTGCCACGTCCACTGCGCAAATTCAAGATGCACCTCTTATGGGAGGAGCTATTCCTGGAGTCCCATCTATAGAAAAAATAACTTTTCACCTCTTGAGGTGTGTATTAATTTTCTCTTATACACATTCTAATAATTTTTGTGCAGTATTTGTATGAGAGTTCTCTTTATTCCATTCTCTGATTCTGATTTTTGCTAATGTGTTTTTCCAATACAACTAGGTTGGATGATGGAGTTATACTGGATGAGATGGTGTTTCACAATGATTATGTCATTTTGGCCTATAACATGGGTGTCTTCCTGTATGATGATTTGCTAGCAGTTGTGTCACTTCGTTATCAAACAATACACATTCTCCAAATTAGGGACTCTGGGAACTTTGTTAATGTACGAGCTATAGGTGCTTTTTGCCAAGAAGATGATGAACTTTTTCTGAATTCCAGTTCTCAGGTAAAGTTGCAACAATTTTTGAGATTTAATGTGATTTTACAAAACTTGGCCAAAAAAATTGTGATTTTACCACATTCTGCTAGTTCTGCACATGTTTATTTTCATATCAATGAATCACCTATAAGCACCATTTCTATGCGTAAATATTGCTTGCATTTTAGTGGCGTATGGCAGAAGTCTACAGATCAATTTGTCTACTTAAGGATTTTCTTTATTTTATTCCTTCGCTGTTTATTTAAAGATTTAGGATTATTACTACGTTCAAGTAATGCCTCTAATTTAGTTTTTGTCTGTGTTTAGCCCTCTGAGGACATTCATTGTATCATGAATGTATAACATACATTTTGAGGTCCTTATTTTCTGGTTTCAATTCTCTTTTGAATTGCTTGGATTGTTGGAACACAATTTCTGATGGGAAACTCCTGTTTGTGGAAGCAGCTCATAACTGACTTGCTACCACCTTTTTTCCATTCAAAGTCTTAACTATGTTTGTTTGATATCAGAAATCACTAGTGTTTTTGGTAACTATAGTACATGCTGGAATGTTTAGGATTTCTGGGCTTGAAGTAATTACACATACACATGGTAAGAGCTCAGGCCTTGAACTAGTCAATGAGATACATACTTTATTGCAGTAGAGCTGATTGTAACTTATATTTCAAATAAATCTGCATCTGACAAAATTTCCCAGTCAGTTATGTTTTTGTTTTTAGGAAACTCATAATTCATTAATGACTCATTTTCTGCTCTATGTTGTGATGATATGATTGTCAGGTGATGTCCTGATGTCTTATCTGTATACATATATGTTTTGTTGGTGGTTCACTTATTTAGTGGTATTTTATATTGTCTTCACTTCATGTTTGTTTTTATTAACAAGTTTGCAAGTTTTTTTTCATAAACTTTGTTGTAGGGTTGTCTTCTTAAGCATCCATGGTAGATTGTAATAAATGCAACACTCTATTCTGTAATCATAAGGCCTCCCTTCTTGTCATTTTTTATCTTTGAATGCATAGGAACATTGGTTAAATTGAGTCTTTTTCACGACTCTTATCAATGACCTTATTTCATCATTTTAATTCTTGAAGTTTAAAGACTAATGATATTTCCCAGCTGCCTAGTGTGGTCTTACTTAACAATCTGACTATTGATAATAAAGCTTTACAAATTCTGACAATGGTAAACCGTATCAGTTTGCTGGCAATCATGTGGATCCTGTAGAAAATTACCAATCTAACTCAGATAGTTCATTTCTGAGTGGTATCAAGCAACGCTTGCTTTCATTTATATTCCGAGTCACATGGAGTGAAGAATCAGACAAAATGCAGGTTGGTTAGTTGACTTGGCAATCAAGTTACCTTTTGAGTTGGAAATGTTTTGAAGCTTTATACTGTATTATTTGCACATTTCTAGCATTTATATATTGTTATTGAAACAGTTTTCTGAAGCTTGGTTCTTTATTTCCACCAATATTATGTCTTGTACTACATGGGTTAGTCTATTTTCAATTTAAGGCTAAATTGGCACATTAATCTCTATGACTTATGTTGCTCTATTTCATTTCACAATGAATTCCTTATTGTTTTTCCTTTAAACCATGTGGTTGCCTCTCATTGCTTTAATGTTTTCAGTGCCTGTGCTTTACATTCTGAATAGTCGGAAGTTCCAGTACTTTACTGTCTAGAATTTTGATAATTTCTCTGTCTTCTCTGTATCAGAGGGTCCAGAACCTGAAAAAGAAATTCTATTTCCATTTCCAGGACTATGTTGACTTGATGATCTCTAAGGTAAATTGACATTGGGTTTTCTACAAACTACTGTGGTGATGTTTTTCTTTGAGTCAAATTGGATTACTTGTATGTTTTGTTTACCTTTAATATGAGCAATGCTAGTTTTATTACTCATTGATAGATATGTAACTTGTCTTTTATGCACAACTCTTGGACAGGTACAATTTTTGGACCGGCATCACCTTCTAATCAAGTTTGGTGGTGTTGTTGATGGAGGGGTGAGGTTTTTTTTTTTTTTTTGCCTCACCTGTATAACTTTTTCATGTTTAGGTTTTGCAATTATTAGATTATTGATACATTGTGGAATAATGGATGGCAACAGCATCTTGAAAAGGCTTTATTATATTCTAATCCCTTAGACATAAGATCCCTTAGACATAAGATCTCAAGCTTAAGTTTCTAGATGGAATGTTTTCTGTGCTATATTTTGGAAATTCCTGTTTGACATATAATTTATTCATTTATGAAACTCAGTTATCTCGAACTGCTGATCACCATCCCTCATTCTTTGCTGTATATAATATGGAGACTACTGAAATTGTTGCATTCTATCAGGTACTATTTCATTAGTCAAATTTTTGTGTCTGATCTTGGTCAAACATCTTTGACAAGAAAATGATGTATTTCTTATTCCAGAATGCAGCAGATGATCTATATCATCTATTTGAGCAGTACTGTGACCACTTGCATGCAACATCAAGGAATTCACTGCATATGAATTTCGTATCATCTCATTCAAATAATATTCATGCTCAAGATCAGTTAAAGTGCATGAAGAATAAAGCCAGCAACACTTCCCAGGTTTGAGTCTCTTTTAACAGAATTATTCAGTGATACACTTTTTCCTTCCTGTTTCTTATGCTTTTCCAAAAGAAACTGTTTTGGTATTTATTTTCCCTTTTTCTTTCTCACACGGTACATGATGGAAAATATTTTTGCATGAATCTTGTATGATATTAAGTCTTCTGCCTTTACTTATATCCATTTGACTGATTACTCACACAGTTTGTGAAGAAGATGCTGTCATCCCTGCCGTTCAGTTGTCAATCACAGAGTCCTTCACCCTATTTTGATCAATCCCTTTTCCGATTTGATGAAAAGGTTTGATTCACAGCTGACTTTTTCAATGTTTTTCTTACCTTCTCTGATAAAACTTGAAAACTTGGCCTTTTTTGCCTGCAAGTCCTAAAGTGATGAGCCAATTTATATTTTAAGGTATCAATTTTAGGGTCTCACTCAATTTGTGGAAGCAGACAATACTTTCATGTCATTGAAACTTTGTCAACCAAAGCCAGTTGTGTCAAGGTTCTAATGAATAAGATTAGTTTGACACCTTAGAACCTTGAGAGTTATGATAAGTATATATATGGCAAAACTTAATCAATGTAACTTTTATGTAATTTTGACCTAATTAATGCCTTATGGGTTGTTGAAGGTGTGGAAAGATCCTGGAGTTGTTGAGAATCTTTGGGCAATGAAATTTGGTCCTCTGATTTCATATAGCTTTTATTTCTGTGGTCTGTGATGTTAGACAAAATTCTTCAGTTTAATATCCTTAATCCATGAAGTACGTGTTTGGTTGTATTGTTTGACTTGGCCCCTCAGAATCAACCATATGATGCCCGGTTAGGACATCTTCCTGACTCCTTTATGCAAATGCCAGATGCAGGGGTGACTAAAGCAGGTCGAAGATAAAAGCTAAATTTATTGATCATGTAATGTCTGAGTGGAGCATTACTAACATAGGCTGAACTCGAGTATTTGTTCTCCTATTACTTTATAATGATGAATATCATCTATTGAGATGATGTTGTTTCTTTCATTTGTTCTATCCATGCCTTTAGTCTCCTCCTTCATTTTTATACAATTTTCCAAACATTTGACTATTATTATTAAATTTCTCCACTGGATACTGTTATGAATAAGGATAATAGTGTTATTTTTGTACTTAAATCTAAAGCCCAGATACACGGAGGGAACTGTTGCCATTCTATTACATGTGCTATTTTGCATATGGATTAACTGCTTTTCTGCTTTCTGATATCCCCTTTTTCTAAGATCTTCAATCATTTTCTCACCCTGCTATTGCAGCTTATCTCAGCAGGTGACCGCCATAGACAGTTGACAGACCATCCCATCAAGTTCATTTCCAGAAGGCGGCACATTCTCAAATTCAAGATCAAATCTGGTAAAATATCTTTCTCTTAACTAATGCTAGCCATTTAGGCAAAAGTTGTTCCATATTAGTTGTAAAAGAAAATCTATTTTCTCTTGTCAGCCAATGCTTCATCCATGCATTCTGAATTAACTATGTTTGTCTTAATTTTTAACAATCTCACTTTCCAATTTACAAATGATAATTTATAAATTCTCAAGTTATCTATATAGGTCCATATTATTGATGCATTAGGTTTTCTTTTAGGTCCTGAATTTGGTAGCACAGATGGTCGGAGCAAAAAGATTTCCTCTTTTCTATTCCATCCATTTTTGCCTCTAGCTCTTTCAATCCAGCAGACATTGTTCTTGCAACCACCGGTTGTCAATATTCATTTTCGGAGATGACTTCTCATCGCTGCTGGTCTCTGATTTTGAAAAGCCTTTAGCAAGAATTGTAATTAAATTAGGAAATATTTACCATTTTCATTCACAGATCATCTATCATTGTAACTTGTAAACCATCTAACCATAAAACATGCTAGCATTAGAAAGTGTTTTTTTTTTTTTTCATCTCTTAACACTTTCTTCTCATCCCTTTACTTTTCTAAATCTGTGGCCATGGAATTTTCAAAAGTGTCTATTAGGCCAAACATATATAAACCGTTTTTTCTACTTAAAAAGTTTGAGGAAAAGTATTTATGGTTTTTGAACATTTGTAACTTACTAGAACATTCAAAAGTTGGCTTTTGGGTTAAGATGTTTGGCTTTGTCTAAGATTTTAATGAGGTGTTGTGGTCTTGATTGAAAGCTTTCAAAATTTTTTTTTTAATTTGATTATTTATTTCTTAAAAATATTATGAATAAAATATGTTTAATTTTAATAATTGTTAATTATAATTGAAAAAATATGGTAAGATAAATAATTACTAAAATGTGCAGAGGGATAGTTATAAATTGGATGACAGCTGAGACAATGGCAGTAGGAATAACTAGACCTGCATCCCACATTCTATATTTTCTCTCCTGCATATGCATTTATATATGGCAAGAAGTGGGCGAGCGTATCCAAGAGCATATCTTTAATTTGGTAAAGGAACGGTATATGACATGGAGCAGGGAGGTGGATACAATGGTTTCAAAGCATAGATAATCAAATGGATGAATGAACTATTCCTAAAGCCAAGGTGTCAACAACAATTAGTAAAATCAAGTAGATGGGCACAAGCATCCCAAGTAGGTGTATAATCAGACCAAAGAAACAAAGCACGAGTGAAATATTTTGCAGCCACTATTTTAAATACTAGCATGATCAGACCTGCTGGGTTGTTGGTGTATCATTTTAGTGTGTTAAAAATTTTAATTCATGAAAAGCAAATTTAAGTTAATTGAAGTTTAATAGGTCTTAAATCAATCCAAGAATTTGAACGAAAATGCCTAAAATTGATGTATCCAAACAATGTCCAAAATAATTATATTATAAAAAGAACGGGACCAAGAAAAGCAATTGGTTATAACCCACCAAAGAAATTGCAACAATGGTTTCTGAAGTAGCTGCAGAACAGCATAAAAAATGTCAGCGGAAACAATCAAATTAGAAAAACTATAATGGGGCAAAATGAAAAAGAGTAAATGTTGACCTCAATCACAACAGTTTGTTTACCGGGCAGCTCTCACGTTGTCATTTTACTGCCCATCCAGCACCAGGATCATAGAGAAAAACAAGCAACACCAGGTTTTTGTTCTTCCCTTTTTTAGAGTGCAAATAGTCTGATGGCGATAAAATAAAAATGAAACAAATTAATAAACATAACATATCTAATCAGTTTGATTATAGTATAATATATTTTAAACACAATGATGCAATTATTATGCTTTATGAGATGCATTTTAGATTACAACATATCCTCCATCTTTTTAACAATTGAGTATGGAAAGAAACAGAGAATCGAAGGACTAATATGCATACGATAATTAAATACAGTCCTATTAATTAGTATACAGTTATGACATAAAATAACACCTCAACAAATGAACAATAAATTCATGAAATCTAAACTTCAAACCAACTTATAAACTACATTCCTCAACTTCAGCAGTGAGGATTAATCTATTAGATGCTATTAAATCTTTGTGAATTGTGGTTAATAATAGGCCTTAATTGTAAATAAGTTCATAACTTGAGATCCGGAGACAAAACTTAAAGTTAATATCAAGCTTGTATGTGACAAAAAGATGTGTTAAGTGGAATGTTACATTGAAAAAATATTAAGGCATAGGAGTTAAATACAAAGAAGATTACTTCACTTATTACTAATTAATTTTAAATTAAATATAAATTTTATATTGAAGTTTAAATACTTAATTTTTTCATGATATCAAAGTAAACTGATCCGTAAAAACCTTTCTCTTCTACTTTTTAAAGACAACCAGCACGATGGCCGAAGAAGAAATAGCTAGAATTTTCAGTCATTTCATCAGTGGCATGAGTCAGTCCCTTGTGTCGACCATTCCGACTCAATCACCCAATGATGCTTCACCCATTTCAGGCTTACGCAAGAACAATGCAATCAAAAAAATTTTTTTTTTTGCAAGTTAGAACAATGCAATCAATTAATGCTGCTACTCAATGTCTCAAGCGAATCCTCCAATGATGGTAACTCCGGTAAGAAATTCATAAACTTGAATAATTGGATTTTATATAGTGGAGCATCTGATCATGTTACTTGCAGTAAAAATTAAAAAAAAAAAAAAAATTGCATTTTTCATCTGCAGATCATCATCATGCCAAAGTACCAAATGGAATTTCTTCTCCTATTCATGGTACCGGTCAAGCAAGAGCTGCTGCCAATGATTTGGTTGATAATGTTTTATATATACCTGAATTCACATGTGATTTTTATCTGTGAGTAAGCTCATTAAAAATTTGAATTGTGCTGTCATGTTTTTACCAACCTTTGTTGTTTTGCAAGATCTTGCAACAAATTGGTTGATTGGTATAGGTGAGAATGTGAGATGCATAATGTACTTTATTATTTTAAGCCATGTAAATGAAATTTATATTGTGGTTAAACTTTTTATTTTCTTTTTTCTGGAACAAGAACACTCCTTTGTGCGTACTCCAACCTATGACACGTCGGTAAAGTATATTAAAATAATATTACAAATAAAATTGTTTATGAGCATACGATAACACTTTTCACATAGGTGAAAATATGTTCACCGACGTGATTAGCATTGGCACTTAACGTACTCAGTCCAATATATAAACTCATGTGCCAGTGCCTTTACATAGCCTCACACGCCTCATCAGTGAATATAACTCTGATGTATAAATTCACACACCTTTATACATTATTGTACATCTTAAAGTTGTTGGTGAATATCTATATTTACTGACGTGGCTCATCTTTTTGTTTCATGTCTAAATTTCGGCCGTTGGTTTGGTGACCGTTAATAGCATTGTTAGTCATGTTAGTGATTTATTAAGATTTATTGATATAACTTAAGCTACGTTGCTATTTCAATTACTAAGGGAGGCTTTTTCAAGGTCATGTTCACCGACGTGTCTCATGATGCTAGGCACTTTTTGCTCACAAGTGGCAACCTTTCATCCACGTGTTGCCACGATGTTGTTTCAATTACCGATTGAGGGAGGCTTTTTCAAGGTGATCTTCACCAATGTGGCTCATGGTGATAGGCGCTTTTCACCCACAAGTGGTAACCTTTTATCTACATGGTGCCATATAAGAGAGGAAAAGAGTATACAAATTAGATATAGGAATAGAGAAAGAGAGAGAGAAATAAAGTATGAGTAAATGGAGAAATATATAATTGATAAAGACAAAAGGTATTGAGAAATGATAGTAATTAGTACACATTTCGGTTCAATATACTACATAACATATTTATTAAAAAATTATATTTTTAGTCTAAAATTAAAGGTATGCATGTTTAAAAATACAATCATACACATAGAATACCGAAATCGGTTGAATTAATTGTATTTATATTATATTTTTAATTGTTGAACCAAAAGTGTGTAAGAAAATATGTTAAACTGAGGGTGTA